TCCGAGTGGGCGAGGAGTGGAGTTGTGGGTGACGGTAGAATGCGTGACGGACGCATGCATGGATCTAGAACTGGAGCAGGAAGACATAGGGTGTACGGACGAGGAGAGGATAAAGAATCTGGAAGCGGACACGTGTCCGGGGTTCGTATCGGACGGCAGTAATAGAGTGGAGTGGTTAAACAAGGCATTTAAGAGGATGGTGAGGCAGAGGCAGAGGCAGAGAAGTGACAGTGAGTCACCCGCGGAGATAGGCGTATGGTTGATATCAAAGCCGAGACTGGGACTGGGGTATTTTAGGAGAAGTTTTACGTGCCAAATAAAGCTGCAGTTCAAATGGGGTACGGAAATGGAAAAGGACTCCAAAGTAGTGCCTTGTGATGCGTGGAGAATGGACGGCGGAGGATTTGCATGGAAACTAGACGTCAAAGCTGCCCTCACTTTGGCTCCTTTGCTCCAAGAAGATTGAACTCCAAAAATTTCAGGTACACTTTCAAATTCCAAAACTTACCCAATCAAAACTCTCACTCCTTTTATTCTTATCTTCACGAAACCAAAAACACTCTCCTCAATGCTAATGATAGGGACACTGTTTTTGTTTGCCAGCATTGCACCAAATAAAAATAGTTTCTTCTTTTCTTTTTTTTCTTTTTTTCTTTTTTTCTTTTTTCCTTTCTTTCCTTTTTTAAATTGTGAAAAATTATGTTACGGTTCTAGAATCCACAATAATAAACCAAAAAGCATCAAATAAAGCTGTTAAAGTAGAATTACCACTATTTATACCCGACCCAAAAATTAAAAACAAGTACTAGAATAGTAGGTACCCATATCCTATAATTATAATTAAAGCAACAAAACTTATATTTTAATTTACAAAAAATAATTGGGTCTCCTGATCTTCATTAGATGGAGAAGATGTCTAACTTATCTTGTATACCAATAAATCCTTCCTTTGACCTTATGACCTCACCTAATTAAGTAGGGTCTAACAAAAATTTAGGTGGATTTTTCTTTGATTTGGTTATCTTTTATAAAATCGTAGCAAATCAAAATTCTAATACTTTATTTAAGATTGCTTCGTACCTAGAATAAGATTATAGTGTTTCTTAACCGTAGTCATACAAGGTTTAGTTAGGCCGAGCTTCTATATAACCTCATTTTGATCGAATCACTCTTATTAATTTTTTCATTGCACTATGATTACGTATATTTAGCTACCCAATTAGTTATTTGTGCTCAAAAGTCATTTTCTAGTTTAGAATCATGTACTAAAGTATAAATAACTACTTCAACTGGATTCAGATTCTTTCACAGGATTTTGGTGCTTTGAAATGTAAATTCACGAGGATATTGCATTCTTTCTCAATTACTAAACATACATATGCTTTTACATGAATATAAATTTAAGACAAATTAATATGGCAATTACAATTTAAAAATTGTGTTAGTATACTACAATTTAAATCTATAATATTATATTTTCGGCCAACAGAAAAAAAGAAAAATTATTCCTATATCAATTTAAAAGTTAAAGAAATGAGATGTAAATCACGATGTGCCTATATGATTATTATCACAATTAGCGAAAACTTGATTGTTATACATTGTAGTGATCTAGAAATTAGATTACCTTGATCTTTATGTAGTTGAAGCTGTCATTCCTGAAAAAGAATAATCTAAATTGTTATTCTCATCTTGAGCTAATTAAAGTCAATTTCTAAACAATGTTGCAGGTCATAATGGAAGGAGTATAAAAAGGACCGAGGAGTTCCCACTTGAAAGTGTAAATAAATAGAGCTATATTTGTAATAAGAACTAAGGAGTAGCGTGCATTATAGATCACCATGCAACCAAAGAAGACACTTGGATGGAAAGATCGCTCAATGCAAAGAAAGAAACTGCTATTATTACGTACGTCAAGTTGCACTACAAATTGGCTTAAAATTGTAACATAAATGGTGGCTATCAACATGATCACATCCCCTATTTCTATATATTCTAGGACCTCACTTTCAGATTTTTCTTTCCCATCCGAAATTTGATGACTTTATTTTGATCCATAAGGAGTTCTAAGATGTTGCAAGTTGAGCACTAAACCAAACGTGAAAGTCGTTTTATGGCTTGATGTTAGATCCACACGGAGTTCTTGATGTTAAACTTGCCCTCTAAACTAAATGTGTGGGAGAGTTTCAGCTTCATTGTTAAATGTTGATGCAGGATTTGAATTCAAGTTTTGACGTTGAATGCTCTAACGAGCAATAACTACAGTACACTTGTGTGGTGTTAAGTACAAATTCATTCTGGCGTCTAAATTAGTAAGGGGTTCAATCAAAACTAAAAAAATTAGAACATACGCCCCAGACATGTGTTCTTTTTTATAGGGTGGTCTTCTCAGATTGATTCAGGTGGACTGACTCAATTGAGTCTTGTCGGCTCGAGAATCTAACCCTAGTCAGATCGGTCGAGTGGTCTAACCTGAAAAACTTGACTACCTCACTTTTTTGACCTCATTTCAAATTAATTTATTTAGTACGATAATTTCATTCATAGCACTAAGTATCTTCCCGGGCCACCTTTTGTAGGAGTTTGGGATATGTCTCAATCGCATTACAAGTATAATTCTATGCGAGTAATGTGAATTTTACCATGAGTTTTTAGTCAGGCTTCTGGATAGATTAGTTAAAAGATAATTGTCGCTTTGAAATAGTGTTTTTAATATGCCAAAAGATTAAATATGCTTTTAAATTTCCATAAATATATAGAAAACAACGTGTTAAAAATATCTTTTTAAAGTATCATTTTTTAAAAGACATACTTTACAAAACACTTTAAATACCTACCAAATATTAAGAATGCTTTTTTGAAATGTAATATTATTATTTAGTCAAAAACAATTTTAGAATATTAAAAAAAGTTCTTTAAGCACGTTATTAGGAACGATACACATGGTTGAAGTACTTTTTAGACCCAACTTAATTGAAGTTTTAAATTTATTCAATCGGAAAAACCATTATTAGAAAATGAAAAATCAATCCAATTTAACTATAAAATATTTGGGTTGGATTGATTATAGTTATTATGGTTACTCATTCAAAATATTGTATAATAATAATAAAGATAATAATAATATATCTTAAGCATTTATTTACATATATTCTAATCTTGAATTGGGATAAAAAATTGTCAATATTTATTTATAAGGGAAACATTACACCAAAAAAGTTATAAAGTTGTTGGAGATTAAATAATGCATATAGAATTATTGTATGAAATAAAATTAAAATAAATTATTCATTATATAATTTTACCGTAAGTGAAAGAATTGTTTTATAATTTACGGTTGGTTCGGTTTCAACTCAATTTTATTACTTCATCAAACTCAATTTATAGAGTTTCCATTCATTTGAAAAACAAACCAAATTCAAGTAAGTTTATAATCCAATTTATGAGTTGGGTTGGATTGATCAAATTTTTCGGTCATCAGTTTTTGAACACTCCTAAATAGACACGTACAATTTTGATAACTATTTGTTTTCTCTTCTAACAAAAGGTTTATCGAAGTAGTTAATTATTTAAAAATAATTTTGATAAATTTTCACGTCTATTTTTAAAATTCGTTATTAAAAAATCAATTGATGAAACATTAAAAAATAATAAAATAACTATGATTACCATTGTATTAGATTTTAGTAACTCTAGTTTGAAGAATATTTATTATATATATATATTATGTGCATAAGATGCTGACAAAAACATAAAAAGTCACCATATAGGATATTGAAACCTACGTTAATTAGGGGTCTATACAAAATCGGATAATTTGAAAAAACTGATCCATGCAATTCAATCATACATCTGATTTGAGTTTGGGATAAAATTTATTCAAATTGAGCATAGTTCTACTATAATTGGTATATATCTCCAATCAATATGTTGTGAGTTCGATCCTCCACCCATCCTCCACCTCACATATTGTACTAAAAAAAATTTGTTCTCATTATATTTGGTTAAAGAAATTAAATTTTTATGTAATAAATATTTATGCATTGGACTTGAGAAATTTGAAAGATCATTTTTTTATAAAAGTAATTGGAAATTCTTAAAAATGGTTAATGACTTACTAGTTTTGATATTGACAATTAGTATTTTTTATATAATAATAAATAATTTATATCATCAACTACTGTAGTATTCTAGCGGGATGAACTACTAACCTGAACATAACTCAATTGATTAAAAGTTATGAATTTAAATTTCTACTCCACGTGGTTGTACTAAAAAAGAAGATCATGGATGAACTTAGATTTTTTTTATAAAAAAAATTAGATGAATGTAGATATTGATTGTTTGAAAAATAATATATAAGTATCTTGTATTTTTTGTCGCGCTTCAAACATCTCCTTACCATTTCTTTTTAAAATTATGATACTATAAATAAATATATAGGAGTGGATCTAATAGTGATCCCCTTCAACTTTGAAAAACATTTTATTATATATTAAATATTTTAACATTGTTAACAAAAATCTCTCTTGCTTTGGTGGTTCGTACGCTCTCACCTCAAACTTCACTCGAGGTCGTTATTTCTTTTAGTGTAATTTTAATGTTGCTACATTTGTTGTTATTGTTATTATTTTTGTTAGTATAATACATGGGAATGGAGATTCAAACTCACAATCTGTTAGTTATTTTTGTTAGTATAATACATGGGAATGGAGATTCAAACTCACAATCTGTTAGTCGGATATATGAACCTTAATCCGTTCGGCTCGTAATAGCACATCACATTCAAATATGATGTATATCTAGCACTTTTGAAGAAAAAATGATTTTCAAATTAATTCTTCCTTTGGTAATTTTATTACCGACTACACTAATCCTTACACATAGGCTAAGGGATCTAAGTTCCAGAGGTAATAAATGAGAGTTCTCTGCTTTATGACTAAGCAAGTACCGTTGATGGCAAGCGTGGAAAATTGTTAGATATAATTAGCCAAATGGGTGTTAGTTTATCTTGTCATATTGCACATCATTACCTAATTAATGCTTCATTTTATCAATTAAAGTTTCTTCACTTGTAGAAGTAGTTCTCATTACTCAACCTCCAGTCGTTGCATACACTTCTACGTGTCTATAAACTACACATGCATGTATCTATTTTCATTCTTTTTCGCTAAAACATACCTAGCTTGACAATCATTGACATATATCTTAAATCAAGAGGTTATGAGTTCGAACCACACCCTCAAATGTTGTAAAAAAAACAATTTAAAGAAAAAATAAAAACTTTGTTTGATATTTTATGTTCAGATTCATCACTTTTCCATTTCAAAAATTTACATGGGTAAAATAGAGAGAACTTTTAAGATCCTAACTTCTTCGCTCTACCATGGCATTGTAGTCGAGTCCCTTCTAGACTCCGTCTAAAACACTATCTAAAGCTTCAAAAATCCGAGCAGACAATGTCTTATCAGCAACGCTAATTATAGACCTTGATTCTTGGATTTCTATCACAGCCTCAGTCGGATCGTGTATGCGTATTACACGAACATTGCTTGCCTCAGCTTCAGACATTTCTTGCTCCAGAGAGCCCTCGATGCCCATCTTTGATAACACATTCAGAAGCTTTTCCAAATCAGGCTTACCCCAATGTATTAGTGGCCTCTGGTCTGAGGCTCTTTGCCCATTTTCAGGCAGCAACTTGAATTTCCCACCATGTAATGAGAGCTCTCCATTCAATCTTGTGATGTTTATATTTTCCTGACATAACTTTCGCCAACCAAAACTCGTAGCCAAGTCGGAGGCGATGTCTAATTCTACACTGTCTTTCAAGTTTGGTACACATACAGTTTCGCCTTCAGTGTATGGGAAGACCGACAATGATTCTGTATTTGTATTGATCAACCGGCTCAAATTCTCAGGGAGCTGCGTCAAACAAAACAGGGTTGGTCTGAAGAACATGTAAACTCAAAAGAATGATAAAAGTTGAGAAGTAAATACACTACCAAACAAAATTTTGGTTGCAAGACCTTTAGCAACGGTTGAACCTTCTCCAACCTTCAAATAGGAAATGCAAGCACGAGAAATAAGAATACTAACCAAGAACTCGCAAGTTCAAAACCAAGAGAAGATATTGGTTTTTGTTTTACTTTATGCCAAGTCCTATTAAAAGCTCAGCTCTACTTGAGTCCTACGAACCATTGTTGGGAGCTCCGAGTTTTTTAAGTCTATTGTACAAACAAATGAACTTCAATCTTATCTTCAAGCAGAAATATCGATTGTAGAAGTTGGTATCAAATTTTATGCCTTGGGGCACAGGGAGAAAGGTCGAAATGGGAGTCCAAACATATTGAAGCCAATAAAGCAACTCAATCTGCAAGAGCACAAGAATAATGGGGAGAAAAATGAACCATACTTTATACCAGAGAGGAATGCACACTGAAGAACCTTCATAGCCATTGGCCTAAATGGTAAGAGAGCAAACTCAGCATCAAGTCCCTTCTGCATTTCACATTTTCCTATTAACATCAAGTCATTGAAGTAAAAATTAATATTCAGTGCGTAGGATTATAAGCACCTCTAGAACAAGTAAAGAGCAAGGATCCCCACACCAACGCCGAAGCAAGTGGACCACCGGACCAAGTCGTAAGCTCCAATGAGGGGAAAATACGATGCACGGTTCCTGCCAGTTCATTCTATACACAGTGTCAATTTCTCAAAGTTGATCATGGTTCAAAACCAAAGTTATACATTAAAGTTTAGGTTGATGATTATTTATGAGAAAGACCTATACTATATTCTAAACAATATGGAGACCAATTAACAGAGAAAGATGGTAAGAAATTTGAATATAATATAATTGTTCACTCCACATAGTAAAAGACTTCAAAGGCACATAATTAATAAATTACTGTGTTTGCGTGTGCAGATGAGAAGAAAGTTTAGGTTAAATCATACAATAATTTGGGTGCATGAATTGAGGGAAAGACGTGAAGCTTTTTCTCTCTAAGGAGCTCAACAAATGCAAACATCGGCTCACCAGAAAATAACTGCAACACCAACCAAATGTGTAAAAACAATACTCACATCAATACTATACTACTATGATTTGACTACATGCTCCAAGTGGATTGAAACCACTAAACAAACAAATTCAAACCTTTTGTTGTCTTTGCTTGCATAACCATTCTGGTATAACGTTGGCAAATGCCAACAACTCCTCAGCTACAGAAGAAATCAAATATATAGGAACCTACACAATATAATTGCATATTCTGTATAAAGAAAGGAACCAACAAATATATAAACCAAGCTTCATGTCTAATGATATACCCTTTTTACTATCTAAGCTCTACCTTCATTCATGACAGTTAGTCCAAGTTTGCTCCATCAGCTAACTAATGATATCAGCTGATGGATTTATTG